TAGAAAAAGGCCTTAGAGCATAGCTGTATAGGGTTGAAATGCATGTTCGTAGACCAATTTTTCAATGTCAGGTGTCGGAGAAACTGTTTGGTTTGGAGAAGGGTGGTACATACAACATTAAGTGGGGTGAGGGGTTAGAAACTAGATTTTTGGTCAACAACTTGATAAACAGAACAGAACATAAATATTTGTAAACCTAGATCCATGAACACTACAGATACTATTATATAATTTCAGAGTTTATACATACAACTAATATTAGATATACAGGAACGAAATTATGAAAGCTAAACATCTAAAAATATGTAACAACAAGTTTAAAAAAGTATACATTAAAGATTCATATTTGACATAACGTTTCAGAAATGTTTGCCGGTAAAAAAAAACTTGACTGACAGTTTGCATTCTGATTATTTCTAGATTGGAGTTGAAACTGGAGACATCAACGCGGTTCAGATCCTGCTCCGAGCAGGCGCAGAACCAGGGCGGGTCAACCCAGTGTTGAAAACAAGCGCAGTTCATGCAGCTGCAGGCCAGGCCAGGCCTGATATGCTTAAAGCACTAGTTGGTAATATTTTATCATTTGAACTTGATATGAAACTTTTAAAAAGCTATTTTATCTTGAATTACTAGAATTACGTTATATTTCAAAATTATATTTTTTTATCAATATAATATTAATTAATAATGAGGTCAGAACTAAGGAGAGGAAAATAAAGTTTGTTTAGATTTTGATCAGATCAATTATTATTTACAATAAAACATCAGAGTACCAGTCCGTCTCTTAAGTTATAATTTATAAGATTTGTATCTTTTGCATGCATCCATGCACGGTCCATTTCTCTTTACTCAAGTCCTAAATATATGATTGTATTCAAATAAATGTATTATATATTCTGTATATTCTGGTCCGGAATGTATTAATTTATTGTAGATTATTCTGGTCCTGAATGTATGAATGTATTATAGATTATTCTGGTCCTGAATGTATGAATTTATTATAGATTATTCTGGTCCTGAATGTATGTATTATAGATTATTCTAGTCCTGAATGTATGTATTATAGATTATTCTGGTCCTGAATGTATGTATTATAGATTATTCTGGTCCTGAATGTATGTATTATAGATTATTCTGGTCCTGAATGTATGAATTTATTAGAGATTTTTCTGGTCCTGAATGTATTTTTTATAGATCATTCTGGTCCTGATCACATGAATGTATTATAGACTATTCTGGTCCTGAATGTATGAATGTATTGGATCGGTCTGGTCGTATTCCTCTCCATCTCGCTGTGCTCGCGTGTAAAAAGAATCCAGACAAAGGACTTCAATGTGTCAAGTAAGAATGTTTAATCAGTTTGCACTTCTAGTAAATTGACTATTTTAACTATTAATACTCTTAAGTCAGTTTTCATCAATGATATCTTTTTATATTTTAGAAAAATAAGAATTAAACATTACAGTAATTCTTTTAATACCTTTTTTATTAAAAATTGTATTTTTTTCAAGATTCGACGGGCAACGCCGGGAACTTTAGCTAGTTTAATATAATTGTATTGTTTGCAAGTCCCTTGTGTTTTAAATGAAGGGTTACTTGTAATAACGACGATAGTTCCTTTAAATGCTAAAAGTGTTAACAGAAAAGTTGAGCACAATAAGCCTAGTTTATTCTAATATTATATATATATATATTTAGGATGTGTATTGACCATGGATCAAATATTAACTGTCTGGATAGGAAAGGGGGACAGACCCCTTTATACCTGGCAGCTTCAGAGCAATGTTTACCCGTTCTTAAACTGCTCTTAGAGCAAGGAGCAGACGCTAGTATTCCATGTCAGGTAGAGATGGATGGATAGATGGATAGATGGATAGATAGATGGATAGATAGATTGATGGTTGGATAGATGATAAATGAATATATAGATGGATAGATCAAGTAGTAACCTCACAATAAAAGAAAATTTTTAATTCGTGATATTCTTATCTTATTTTCTGAAAAGTTACAGTTTTATACTCATTATATAATTTAGGGAATGTCAACTCGACAACTAATCACTGACAGCTTCTCAGCAGCAGAAGTAGATCAGTTGGATCTCAGCAGCGTCACGGAGAGTTCAGAGAACAGCTTCGATGAGCTGCTTCGTCTAGTGGATATAGCCGAACTTGATGGTCCCGACGATCCCACGTTTAGAAAAGCTTTAAATAAAGCTTCCATCAGGTTAGATAATAATGTATAACTTCCATAACAAATTTTGGAATAGGAATAGAACATGTAGACTATACTATTACTGCTTAATCAACTTAGTAAGTGAAACGAGTCTGTGTACAATGCACAATAGCTATCTAAAATCTTAACTTGAGTCGTAAAGTCGTCTTTCTATGCCACAGTCTTGTGGGTCTCATTGTAGCTAAAGGTTTGGTTATCGAAACATTTTCAAAGTTCTAATTAACAAGGTTTTCAAGTCTGGCGCAAAAATCGATAAAAGCATTTTATCAATAACTTCTTATTTAGTTCTAAACTGTAAATGTTCAAAGAATTAGAATTATATGCCAAGACTTTGCGACTCATAAACAAGTCGACTTGGCCGGAAAAATAAACTAGTCGACTTGGCCGGGAAAATAAACTTGTCGACTTGGCCGGGAAAATAAGCTAGTCGACTTGACCGGGAAAATAAACTAGTCGACTTGGCCGGGAAAATAAACTAGTCGACCTGGCGGGGAAAATAAACTAGTCGACTTGGCCGGGAAAATAAATTATTCGACTAGGTCGTGCAAATAAACTATTCGACTTGACCGGGAAAATAAAGCAACTATTTAAAGGTGTCTGTAATCTGTATCTCTGTAGTGGTCTGTTTCTTTATAAAAACTTTAGTGAAAGTTTAATATTTATATTTAGTATATTTAACCTAGACTCTGTTTATATATCCTCTGGCTTGGAATTAAGATGATTAAACGAGAAACCTTTATTGACATATTCAGGGTTCAAAGGGAAAGTAAAGAGAGGAAAATACAAGAAAATTAATTTCTCCGTGAATAATTTATTTTAAAATTTATCTCGTAATTAATAAGAATTTTTTTTTTAAAGCTGGTCTATACATTAATCATGACAAATTTACTTATTTCTGACAGTGTATTAAAACAGAGATAGAGTTGAATATATTTGCGAGAAGTCGATGAACTAATTAGAAGCGGTTCATATTTTACTTGAACTTGGAATCCCTGATTCAGGTTTTAATCCTGTCCACGTGGATTTAACGGTTCTGTCATTTTTTCAGAAAACTGTGACTTTTGATCACAATTTGACTTATTCAACGTAACCTTCTAACCTTTTTTCATAAACACTTTTTTGTCGTTACAATATTGATATACATTTTATAAGAAAACTATAAATTCAAGGCGCTTCGCGCCCTTCTTTCTAGCCTTAGAGGGCGCTTCGCGCCCATCTCCTAAATTACTTGTGAACATGTTCTCTTTGTGTACATCGTAAAACAAAACAAAAATAATTCGCGGATTTTCACAAAAATTTCGCGGATTTTCAAAATTTTAAAAAATTTAATGACGATCGAATTTTGATGGAGACAAATATTTGAAATTTTGATGATTCATAAACCTTCCCTGAAGTCCCTAGATGTCCCACAAAAAATTTGGGCCCGATCGGTTCAGCCGTTTTGACGTTTATTGGATACAAACAAACAAACAAACAGACAAACAAACAGACAGACAAGCCAAATTTATATATAGAAGTATAGAAAAACAAAGTTAAATAGACCAAAACACGCTTGATTTTAAATAGAAGAAACCGAATACTGCAGACTCTGGTTAGTCCGGGGTGTGTCAGCACTATGATATGTAGTTGAACCGGTGGTTGGTGGTTCAACGACCTCTATCCAATTGATTAAATCCGGTCCCGGATTAAAGAATATTAAGAATTTAAGTTTTCCCTCACAAACTTTCTTTTCATCTTTTCAACAAATTCTAATTAGTAAAATTGAATAATTCTTTTCATATACAAACTTTTTGGAATATATTTTATACGCATGAATATTTTTTAAAGAATATAAGTTACAATGAAAGTTAGAAACATAGCAACCATCCGACAACTGCGCGCACACAAAGTACAACATTCTTTGACACAAACCTAATAAATGGAATCCATTTCTTGCAGTGTAAAACTTTAAGTGTAAATTCATAATATGTATCTATCTAAATATTTTCAACGAAATCGACCTGGGACCTGATTGAACCGTGTGAAATAAGTTGAACCCCTTCCCTTTAGCTTGAATCGTAGTAAAAGAGAAGCAGTTCAACATCGTCCATCCCGGCCCAAGGGTGTAATGCAAGGAAAGTTAATTGCGGTCGTGTAAACTCTGAGTACATATTGAAACCAAGTTCTCTTTGGGCGGAATTTGTAAACAAGAATAGATGCATCAGTGTTCGTTTAGTATCCGAGGAGGTTAAAAGCATTAAATTTTGATATTTTGATAATTCACATAATAGTTTCTTATGACCAGAATAATTCATTGATTTTTTTATGTGAAAGATGGATCCCATGTCAGGCTTTGACATCCGTCTTGTGTTTACATTACCGCCCAGAGAGAGTTTACTGCAGTACAAAAGATGTGTACACTTCTGAAATAACTTTCCTTGCATTACATTCTAGGTCCATCCGGTTTAATTATTCATCTAGTGTATGTAGATCAAAACTGCCGAACAGATCGATTTTCAAGACTACTTCGAGGTTTCAGTGTCTCAACACCTTTTAAGTGTGAAAACGGTCTATATGATTTTACCATGAACTGACTCGCTTATGCTTTTCTGTAGACATAGAAATTTGTATTTTGAAATTTAATGCACTTATTTAAAAAAAAAAAATTTTCGGAACAAATTGGCAAAACTCTGCACCTATGTTTGCTTGAGAGCTTGCAACCACAGAACAGAGTATAAAATAGAAGAGAAATAAGACTATTCTTTGGTATGAATTTGTTCAGTCCCTTTGAGCCTACCAAAAAGAGTTCAAAGTGTAAAATGTTCAAAACACATAAATTTCACTAGAAGGGGATCATTCATTTGGCTTACCGTCCCGTTTTGCCTCATAAAGTCTGTGTTTGTATTGTACTGCTTGCATTGGCTAGTTAAAATTCGGCCCGGTACATGAAATGAACTGGAATGTACCTTGACAAGTTATATTCACTACATTACAATAATACAGTATGATTCCTAGACATGTCCGTTATACGATTTCTTCTTTTCTGCATAAAATTTATGCTGAAATGAACTCAAGAATGCATGAGGGGTTGTTAGAGTATTGAATTAGATAAAATGAAATAATTTTCAAGCAAATATTTTTCTACAAAAAGATGTTCCAGGGCCCAAAAAGTTAAAGAGCACAAATGTGTGAAGTACACCTGCAGTATGATAATGGATATAGTACAAAAAAATGGCGGTTTTACACTTTTTTCGACTAAATTCCACTTTAAACTCATCTATTCCCTTTGCTTGCAACCCTTGGCACAGCACAAAAATTTCCCCTTTTCTATATCAAATGAACTTTTTAAGGATGAACCTTTTGTTCTCGTAAGTAATTTGTAAATAATTATACTTTCAAAATATTTATGTTTAGAGAGGTTGATTCAAGTGGTGGTTCAGTCAAGAAAAGTCTGGTTCAACTGTGTGCAGAAAGAGGACTAGGTATATCATTAACAATAAAACTAATTTGTTTTTAGGTATTAATTTTGAATAGGATTATTTCTATTGGCATTACAATCTTTTTAGTAACACATTTATTGCCTTGGTTACCCTTTCGGCGGAATTAATTTAACCCATTTAAATCACTTACGGAAAAAAGCAAAATTTAAAAATAAATCTTTATTATTACCAAGTTTATAAAAAAAATTTAGTCGAAAACATTCCAAAAATTTTCTACCCCTCACAGTTTAAAAAAGGGTGATTAAGATTTTAGCATTTTAATCATGACTCTTAATCTGTTTTTAGATAGTTACTTGAAGCTGATCTTGGAGAAGGGTGGAGACCCAAATACGACCACGCCTTCAGAATCAGCCACGCCTTTGATTCTAGCCGCGAAATCTGGATTCGGCGGCATTCTCAAGGAATTTTTTTTATGATTTAAAGGAGGTGGTAGTTCTTTGGACATAGGCATTTTGTTCCACTAATTACTTTCCTTGACTGTATTTGTATTTGTACGTTGGAATAATATTTGTAGTTATTCCCCAAGTGAAAAGTTCTTTGGAAAGTACGAAACTACAGTTCAGGAAAATAAAGATTACAAAAAGTGTGCAGGCCAAACAGCAACAACCTACTTTGTTTTTCAAATTTTAAACTAAATGGAACTTTCTACGAAAGTTCCACATATAATCAATAAATCTACTTAACATTTAAATCATTACTTTTGTATTCAACAACAAGGGTTAGAATAATTAGTGCTTCATTCATTTCAATTTCATAAATAATAAAAATGAAAAATTAGTTATTGTTGGAAGAAAATAATCTTCTGGTAAACGGTAGTGGTGAAGCTAGTAGGTAAAATATTATTGTTATAATTATAATTATTAATCATTATTTTCAATATCATTATTATTATTATTATTATTATTATTATTATTATTATTATTGTTATTATCATTATTATTATTATCATTATCATTATATATATTATTATTATTATTATTATTATTATTTTTCTTAGTATTATGATTATTATTATTGTTGTTATTATGTCTATTTTCAGGTTGAAAAGAGGAAGTAGAGTTGATGTATACAGGACGGATAGTACAGGAAGTACTGTACTGCACATTGTACTCCGTAAACCCTTCTACGCTCTAGACACTAGGTAAACATGGATACAGTACATACAGTAAAGTAATTAGATACACAAAAAATCAACTTTCCGTTTGAAATTGTTGGTACGAATTTTTAGCAAAGATTGGGAAATATAAATTCAATTACAAGATTTAGCACAACTTTGTTTGGAAATTTTTTTATTCATATCAAACCAATTTTCATAATTTTTTACCTGAAAGACCTGGTTTTACGTACCGTTTAAAACAAATATATTTGTTTTGTATTTTTATCTAAAAATGTTAATTGTTAATTAATCTTTTGTTTAATTTCATTAAATAGAATTTGTATCGAATTGTGCTTTAAGACATCGATTTAAATTTTTGATATCGATTTTGAATATATATTATGGTTGTTCGTATTTTTGTAACTAACCCAAGCGGCAACTTGGCAAGCAATGTAACAATGGATTAGTTAATTAAATGACATTCTTAGAAAGCCTTTTATTACTTAAAATAAAAAATAAAAAATATTTTTAAATTTATTTTAACCTTTTCTATTTCTTTAAACGTTGATTTTACTAACAGAGGTCTTGGTTGTAATTTCAAATGAACTGTATGGTCCGCGTTAACAACGGATTCGGAACCATTGACAAGAAAAGATAAGGATATCAGAATTGATCCAGTTTAAAGATTGAAATCGACGACATCTTATCATTACTGAGTTAATGGTTTAAATGCAATTAAACTCTTGAAGTGAAGGGTCACATGTATGTACACTGTACACAGTACACTGTACACTGTACAGTTCCTTTAAATACATTGTTCCTATTTATGACGAGGTTGATTATGGTTTATGCCTGCAGTATCTGTTTGTATGTACACTGTACACTGTACAGTTCCTTTAAAGATATTTTTCCTAGCTATGCCGATGCTGATTATGGTTTATGTCTGCAGTATCTACTTGTATGTACACTGTACACTGTACACTGTACAGTTCCTTTAAGTATATTGTTCCTAGTTATGCTGATGCTGATTATGGTTTATGCCTGCAGTATCTGCTTGTATGTACACTGTACACTGTACACTGTACACTGTACACTGTACACTGTACAGTTCCTTTAAGTATATTGTTCCTAGTTATGCCGATGCTGATTATGGTTTATGCCTGCAGTATCTACTTATTACATTTTACATTTTACATTTTACATTTTACATTTTACATTTTACATTTTACATTTTACATTTTACATTTTACATTTTACATTTTACATTTTACATTTACAATTTACATTTTACATTTTACAGTTTAAATTTTACACTTTGAATGGGAACTTATTCAAGGAATTTAAACAATTTTTTCAATTTTAAGAATGTATTGTGTACGTCTTTATATTGAAAAAATGAGTTAAAACTTTAAAATATGTGTATTTGATATGAGCGGAAATATTTTCCACTTTATTAAATATTTTTGATAAATTCTTTAGCAGAAAAGGTAAACGCTCGAAAATATTGATCTTTCAATTAATGTACTGCTGTTTCTGGGATGAATAAAAACAAACATTGCTCCCAAATGCTGCTGTCATAGATAATAGAATATATATTAGAGGGGAATTTACTAGAAAAAAAGTGTAAAACGGCCATTTTGTTGTACTGTTGCCATACTGCAGGTGTACTTCACATATTTATGCTATATAACCTGGAATTTCATTTTATAGAAAATCTAAAATTATTGTTAAAAGAAAACCAATAGGCTGGTTTCATAATTGACCAATGATCATTTCACATAGACTCTATGCCTTCCACTTTACAAACGATGATTTTCCGTTATAACTATAAATCAAATGATATTTTTATCCACCTAATTCATTATAAAGTTTATTTAACAAATTAAAAAATTCGAAATTGAAATAAAAAGTCTAGGGAACATAATGTATTAATGTACTCTACTGCATATAATTTGTGAACATTTACATGATCTGTACACTTTGAACTCCCTTTCAGGCTAAAAGGGACTGAAAAAAATCATACCGAGAGATTGTTTAAATTCCCCTCTAATATATATTCTATTCTCTATGGCTGCTGTACAATTTTCTGTTTTACTTGTATTTTCTCGGTCAACGGTAGGAAAATTGGTATCTGCAGTACTGCAGTTGCAGTGCACTTTAGTATGATAACAAACATGTTATTTGTTTACTGTTAAGGATGTTAACGGCAACACACCTCTCCACTATGCAGTACAATTCTGGGACCAAGAAACTGTTACAAAACTTTTGCTATTAGGTAACCAATAAAGTACAGGGTGTCCCACGAAACATGACATTTAATAATTAGTTATTTTTGGTTAAACAAATCTTTTGCTGAATTATATTTTACTTTGAAATCAATTTTAATATAACATGACTCCTATGTAATATTTTTATTGATCTTTAGTATCAAACAACTGGACAAATTATGGAAAAAGACATTCTAAACTATTCACCAACTGTCATGTTTCGTGGGACACCCCGTATTTCAAAATTAATCAAATTTGATTTTATAATTCTAAAAAAATTATGAAAGATTGTTATAATAATTGACATACTTTATTTTTTAGAACATGAACCAAGTAGGGTTCACAATCGGTATTCCGTGGCGAAACTGTGCGGAATTTCGCGCAACTGTTCTTGAATTGCGCGGAATTGTGCATAATTGCTCTGAGTTTATAGACTTACAGCTCACTTTTGCCCGCAAATAAAATCAACTTGCGTTGGAAACCCTATTAGTCAAGTAAATGATTAAACGGTACTTTTTAAACTCCGCGCAATTTTAGTGGATTTTTTTTTGATTAATTTCCTGTTTGAAATAAAATAATGCTGATTTCAGGAGCAAATATTGGATTGAAAAATATACTGGGCGAGGCTCCAATTTCCTCAATTCTGCCGGAAACTATGGAAGATTTTCTGAATAACCACTGTATTTCATCAAAGGGAAATCCAACCAACGACGACTTTAGGTAAGAAACTGTTGTCTTTTTTCTAAACAAAGACAAGGAAGTATTTTTGAAGATTTTTTTGCGAATCTTTTAACGCTGTTAATACTGGGATTTCTGAATTGTGTTCCTACTTTTTTGTACTTTAAACGTGAAGTTTAAAATTTTGGATTTTTTTGTATCTTAATTTAAAAAATAATTGTAAGGAAACAATACCAGGTTTTCGTCTGATATAAATATACAACGTAATAATCACTCGAGATACTGAACAAACAGTTTTAAAGTAATTAAATATATATATACTTTTTCCAAGGATAACTTTCAAATATGATTTCCTGGCCCCGCCTCGAGAAAGCCTGCCGCGACAACTGCGAGCAGAGACATCTATGAACAAACTTGGAAGCTCAGCAGCTGATGAATTCCTTGAGGAAGGACAAGATGGTACAACACATCCAGAAACTGAAGTGCTTTGGTAATAAAATTTCGAAAAGCAACATATACAGGCCTACCTAAAAAGTATGAGCCATTAGGAACGATTGTACAGACATTATTTTGCCTTGTTTCGTAGATTATAGTTCTTTATTCTTCATCTTTTCTTTATCATTAATCAGTATCTCAGTAAGAACGTCGGTTAATTTGAAGTACCTAAATGGCTTTCAGGCAGCTAAGCAAGTTGTACAGTACAACACAGATACAGACTATTGACGGCAAAACGGTACATCAAATACATCATATTTTTTTAGTGAGCTTAATGTGATCTTCATTATTAAATTAAATGCAAACACTTTAAACAAAGTGTCATTGAAAGAAGTCAAAAACATGATTAAAGTCTGATCCTTGGTTATTAAGTTTTTGTGTGCTAGGTCCGATATATCAAAACAGAAAACGACGACTTTAGCTTTTCCGTGTTTGCTTTTAAACACGCTTGCATCAGATTCTGCTTATAGGTTTAGATACCAAAACAATACATGATAAAAAATAAACCCAAATTTCTTTATTTTAAGTGCATTTGAAATTATTTTATCGAAATTTTATAAAAATTATATTCCGAATTCCGAAAGAAAGAAATTATATAGTTGTTCCAGTTTTAAAAAATTGGATAATTATTTTATTTGAAGGTATATGGCGGGTTCTAAAGAGCACAGGTATCTGCTCAAGCATCCAGTTATTACCAGTTTCTTGTCTCTCAAGTGGGGCCGGATATCCTACCATTACAACAGTAACCTACTCTTCTATACCCTACTAGGTAGGATACCATTACAACAGTAACCTACTCTTCTATACCCTACTAGGTAGGATACCATTACAACAGTAACCTACTCTTCTATACCCTACTAGGTAGGACTAGGATACCATTACAACAGTAACCTACTCTTCTATACCCTACTACCCGTTATAAACTTTCAAAGTTTTATGAGGAAAAAATGGTGTATTGATCAACGACCATTTAATTGCGTCACTTAATTAACATAATATCCATGTTTTTTTGAAATCCCAACATATTTTTATTCTATCTATGTAGTTGGAGTTCTCACAAGCTACATATTCGCTAACTATGGGGGTCAAGCCTTAGGTGTTCAACCTCCACTCTGCCCAAACCAAACTAATAGTTCAGGTAAACCAACCCGAACCAAACCAAACCAAACCAAAAATAATTTTGGAACTCCATTAATAACAGAAATTTGTTATTTTTAATTCTTAATGTACCAAGAAAACCTACTTCAAGAATTAAAGAGAGAGGTGTAAAGCGCTCTGAAAGCCTCACAAAAAAAACATATTAAAAATAAACGCGAATTTCAGGTTCTCCTGGAAATTCCTTGAACTCCTACCAAAGCGGACTCTGGTGGACTCTTCTAGTACTAATTATTCTTCTTGGGATCAGGTTATTATTATTTTTATTATTATTATTATCATTATTATTATTATTATTATTATTATTATTATTATTATTATTATTATTATTATATTATTATTATTATTCTACCTTAATTTATTATAAAATGTATTTGTTGTAGAGAGGTATTCCAGTTTAGTATATCTGCTGCTAGATATTTCCATAGTGTTGAGAATATTATTGAGGTAAATATAGATTTATCTTTTATCAAACAATCCAGGGGTTTATTTCCTACTTAGGACTATCCATACAGTGGAATAGTAAAACAGTTTCATCAGTAGTTTAATATCAACGTATATAGTGAAGTGGGTCTGTTTACACTGTAAAATATCTGTATTTTATGTTCATTATCAATTATATCATGTCTTTTCCATAGTTGTGTGGTTCCTACTGTAAAATTTTCAATGAACTACCTTCCGCGCAGGTTCAAATTCTGAATTACCCATTCAAATCCTGGGACCGGCGTTCTGTAGTTCAGTAACCTCTCTTTATGTATTAGTGGCATTTAACACAAAAGTTTAATTTCTGTAAGGTTGCGCTGGTTCTGAGTGTTGGACTGCTGCTTGGCTACGGAGCTCCAGGTTGCCATGTTCAGATGAAACGAGAGCTATCCTCTGCAGCTCTCATGTTCTCCTGGTGAGTCCTCGGACACATTAATGAGAGTGTTCACCTTATTTCAAGTAACCCTGCATTTAAAGAGTTGCATTTTATTAGCCTGTGAATTGATGGACAAAAAAATCAAAGAAAACGATGATCACTTTTTCTTTTGCTCAGATAGAGGCTGCCAAATGGAATAATGTCAACAGTCCCTTTAAATAATTTTTTACATCTTTGACGCTCAGTTTTCCTGAATTTATTTCTTAAAGGGCGTGTGAACGTAATTACAAGTGACACTTTATTTAAAGAGTTAAATCTTTCAAGCAAATACTAAGAAGACAATTGACAGAATTCTACAGGAAAAAAACTAAGCAGACAATTGAGATAATTCTACAGGAAAAAAAAAACTAAGAAGACAATTGACATAATTCTACAGGAAAAAAAACTAAGAAGACAATTGACATAATTCTACAGGAAAAAAAACTAAGAAGACAATTGACAGAATTCTACAGGAAAAAAAACTAAGAAGACAATTGACAGAATTCTGCAGGAAAGCAGATAATTGACAGAATTCTACAGAAAAAAAACTAAGCAGATAATTAACAGAATTCTACAGGAAAAAAAAATAAGCAGATAATTGACAGAATTCTACACGAAAAAAACTAAGAAGATAATTGACAGAATTCTACAGGAAAAAAAAACTAAGAAAATAATTGACAGAATTCTACAGGGAAAAAAACTATGAAGATAATTGACAGAATTCTACAGGAAAAAAAAACTAAGAAAATAATTGACAGAATTCTACAGGGAAAAAAACTATGAAGATAATTGACAGAATTCTACAGGAAAAAAACTAAGAAGACAATTGACAGAATTCTACAGGAAAAAAACCGACGATTTCATTATCTTTTGCCAATGGAGATTTATATGAAGGGTGCTTTTTTAAATCGTACATGCCATTCTTTAATTAAATGGTTAAAACTTTTAAATAACGTAGACCCTCACTTTTTGTTTTATTATTTTTTTCAGTTTACATCCATGCCGCATAATTTTCACTTTACATCCCTGCCGCACAATTTTCACTTTACATCCATGCCGCACAATTTTCACTTTACATCCATGCAGCCAGGGGCGTGCGAGGGCTTTTGTTTAGGGGGGGGCACAATCTGCGCGCGCCCCCTTGGCAACATTGGTCCCCCCCTTAAAAACCCCTTTTTTGAAAAAATATTAATACCTTTTTTAAATTTTTTTCGCCCCCCCTCTCCCACCTGGACTTATTTTGTTCACCATAAAAATACACCAAAAAGACTACTTTTNTTTAGGATTCAGCTGATTAAACTATAAACCTGTTTAGGATTCAGCTGATTAAACTATAAACCTGTTTAGGATTCAGCTGATTAAACTATAAACCTGTTTAGGATTCAGCTGATTAAACTATAAACCTGTTTAGGATTCAGCTGATTAAACTATAAACCTGTTTAGGATTCAGCTGATTAAACTATAAACCTGTTTAGGATTCAGCTGATTAAACTATAAACCTGTTTAGGATTCAGCTGATTAAACTATAAACCTGTTTAGGATTCAGCTGATTAAACTATAAACCTGTTTAGGATTCAGCTGATTAAACTATAAACCTGTTTAGGATTGAGCTGGTTACCATGGTTGGAAGGCATCCTATCCTTACAACATACAATACCTACCTTACAATGTTCTACAGGTTGGGTATTTCGAAACCTTTATCATTTGAACAAAATCTGTTCTTGGAATAATTTGTGTTAACCATACAAGAATATAAAAAAATTGGAGAATTTAGTTTAGATAAAAAAGTATCCATTTTCTAATTTAGTTTAGGTAAAAAAGTATCCATTTTCTAATCTCCCTAAAGGGAGTGTTCGCGAAAAATGAAAGGGGGTATGGGCTGACATTGAATTGAATTCGATATTGATCGCTTCTAATCTTACTCCTATCCTTAATCTGTTGCGTCTATAAGGAGAAAATGGTTAAGAACGTCTTAACCATTTCATGTTTCGCGAACACTCCCTTTAAGACAATGAATTAAAAAAATTAAAGGGGTAAAAGATCAATTGTAAACACTTCATTATTAATTTTAGCGAACAGTCCTTTTTATACTATATTTTTCTTGTTTAGAGTTTTAAAAACGTTTCTTCAGTTCCTGGCCTGGTACTCCTTGTTCCTTCTCGCGTTCTCCCTCTCCTTCTATATACTCCTTCATTCAAACCAGGCAAATAATTTGTCACTTTTTTCTCGAAAAATATTGAAATTAAAGTAAACTTTATTTTACAAAGCTCCTAGAAAGATTTGAAATTCTATTATGCAATGTATATACAGTTCTCTGTAAATAATGAACTACGGATATATACACTAGAGACAAGGAATGAAATTCAAATAATTGATCTATTTTAAGACAGAATATCAACAATATCTTCCTCATCTTTCACCCCACAAAGAGTTAGAGGGTACCGTTGTGAATCGGGCTCTAAACATTTTACATTAAGAGCCTCTTAGATTAAAACTTCTGTTTAACAACTTTTTATTTTTTCCAGGACGAGGCAAGCGAATACATTTACTTTGATCATATTGGATTAACTATTGTTAAAATCTGCTCCATGTTTATCGGAGAACTAGGTGAGATACAGTCAATCTCACTTATAAGAATATAAAGCAAGAGCGCATGAAATGTCGTCTTGAAATTTATTTAAAAATTTATGACAGCTGTAATTCTTCATCTGCACAAAAAGAAAGCTGCTGAGATGTTCGCAGCTTCAAAGGGTTGAATGCGATTTGAGAAAATATATCCAAATATCATTGTAGGGTCAAAACTTCTTTTTGATAATTCTTGAGAAACTGCTTTTTTAAATCAAAGTAAATTAATATTCCTGAAATATGAAGGACAGCAATTGATATATTAAGCTCGTTTTTCCGCGGCATTTGATCATAAATATGTTGAGAATACGACATTATACAACACTCTTGCTATGTATTCATATACCTGAGATTCACTGTAGCTTTTTTACACGATATTTTTTAGAGAGTACGTTTTTTTTCTATTTTGGTTTTAAAAAAGATTTTTTGATAATTACGGCGGATTAGGTTCTTTAAAATTCTGAATTAAACTTTTGTGAATTAATTAGAAAATATAAAATCTTTTTTCTTCATTTTTCTCTAATCAATTTGAATTTATTAATTTTGAATTTTGAATATTTTAGAGTTCTCTGATCTCCCACTTTCCTCTGCTTACAGTTACATTTTCTTCCTCATTTTCATCTTCCTTATTGTTGTTGTACTCATGAATCTTCTCAACGGTTTAGCGGTAAGTTTAATCTTTATCTTCTTCTTATTGTTGTTGTACTCATGAATCTTCTCAACGGTTTAGCGGTAAGTTTAATCTTTATCTTCTTCTTATTGTTGTTGTACTAATGAATATTCTCAACGGTTTAGCGGTAAGTTTAATCTTTATCTTCTTCTTATTGTTGTTGNCTTCTGCTTTATAAACCACGCCTTTACTCAAACATTTTCCATTTAGAACACAATTTTTTGTTCCACCACGACAATTGCAATCTTTTACATTTTTATCCTGATTTGATTTAAAGGTTTTACTCAGAAGTTTCTTATTATGTCCAGATAGAACTGCTTCAATATTTGTCATACAAGAATATGATACTTTAATCGTTGATCTATTAAAGTATTTTCTCAGTTCTATTTCTCCAAAATGTTTATCAATCAAACTTAAGAACTTTTCCGCAACTTTTGTCTTTACTGTTTCACTAAAAGGAGGATTGAACCAAATAATTTTTCTCGATCTTGTTTTCTTTTTATCACTGTTTTGATTAGATGGGTTGAATTCAAGTCTCTCCGTATATCCTGCTTGATGTAGTGCATCCATATAAGGTTTTGACTCATTCTCAAAAACTTCTCTGGAACATGATAAATTAGAAACTCTTTCTTCAATCATTTTTGGAAGTTCTTTTTTTATAGACCTAGGATGATTAGATTTGACATTGATGTATATATATATATCAGTTTTGAACTTCACATTTTTTATTAAAAAAGAATTGTACTAAACATAATGTTTCACGCCTATCATGACATTATATATATATATATAATCCCTAGGTTAGTGATACTGGTTTAATCCGTGAAGATGCCGAGATACATTCTCACGTTTGTCGGGTTGAAGTTATATCAGCTGCAGAGGCAACAATACTAGGAGATCCAGCTCATATACTTACAGGTATACAGGGTGTCCCACTAGACATGAGAACTAACAGGTATACAGGGTGTCCCACTAGACATGAGAACTTTCCAAACATATCTTATTTCTTCTTTGTATCTTAAGAATACATAAACAATTGATTTTTTTTAATTTCGCTTAATTCATTACATAATAAATTAAAATTTATTTTAAAAACGCTAAAAACTTGAAGAAAGAAAAATAGCAGATTTTTACTAATAGTATTTTGCCAAAGAAAAATGATACGAAAATCTTTGTTTTTTAATTGAGTTTTTTTCAACTCAACTTTTTTGATTTGGGAACATCAGCTAATCTTATCGCTCAAAGCTGTCGAAACAACCCTGCAGTTTTCCAGAAAACCATACCAATCCAAATGTTCCAAGCTCTCATGCAGAAATCGATGAGAATTTTGCCAACTACTGATTTAAAACTTAAGCTAAACCAGTCTAAACAGTTGATGCTACTTTTCCTATCAGGATGGATCTCTTTAAGAAATCACTGTCGAAATTTTGTGGTTTTTGTGATTTTTACTTGTTTCTCTTATTTAGAAAAATTACATCGTCTAAAAAAAATTCAAGTGATATTTAAATCTTGTGTTATTATATTGGACAGTCGAATGTGCAGAAACCATGTTTATATTTTTATATTCTAGTATTTTATTTTAAATGTTTAGGCCCAGGAAAACTATTCCCAACATGTGGACTTCGTAGGAAGCTTGGAACAATGTTCAGGTACACAGCAACATTACTTCAAAGGGGGTGTTCAGAAGTTTTACAAATCATGGTTCATATTTATTATTTATATCCTGTCTCTGAGCTGCGGACATGGAATATTCGAGTTTAATTCACTTTCTAAAAATGCATGACCATTGACTGCAAAGAGGATATCTATGATAACTTTATTTCAGGACTAGAACTGTATTGCAGAGGGTTCTGGGTGGTACCGGAGTCATGTTATTCTACTCCGTCCTACCAGATAAACAGCTCGTCATTTATCCAAATAGAAAATCTTTACTCTGCTCTCCTTGTCTCTCATCTAAGGTTAGACATTTTCATGATCAGCATAGTGTAAAATTTGGGACATTTGGAATATCTTATAGATTACAATTTCGTCTTGGATGGGACATTTAATAAATTGGACATTTCATATATAATTGACAAAATCAGAGATCAGACAGAGAGTCAACTTTATCTCCTTGAAATGTCCCGTCTTTTAGTTATCCATCTATGAATTATAAACTATCTCATAAGTGTCCTACATTATACATACGAAATGTCCTATTTCTGAATGTCATTTTCCTTTCTCTAAAATGTCCTCTTTTCCAAAGTTTACCTTGAATTATCAGGAAGTTGGACGGGAAATAGTGGATTCAGCTAAGAACCTAGTTCTCCGACTATCCCGGGAAAACCAGGAGAAGCAAGGATGGGAACAGGCGATCAAGGAAATAAGGTAGAGAGAATAAGTTTAAGGAATTGTTCAGATATTTTACCAACTTTTCACCAACATTCCTCCAACAGAGGGACAACCAGTTACATCAAGTACTTTGGGACATTTAAGTAAAATAACCAACCGCTCAGCAAAGTTTTCGTTAAAAAATTCGCGCATTTTCATCTCAAAAGACGATAAAAATGTGTACAAAACTATTTTTTCGGGAAATTAAATTTTTTCTTAACCACGGATTTATTCGACCTATTTTGCCTACAAAATATTCCTCACTGCGCTGTGGATGTTTTGTAGGCAAAATTGGTCCTTGGGAGTTTGGTAACGTTAACTTCCGTTAACTTCCCTAGTAAAGTAGTTGTAAATAATTAAAGTGAACTATGGTCAGTACCAATTTTTTCCCTTGCCTATTTAATATACCTTCCCCTAAATAATTAAAGTAGATTGGGTAAATAGTAATATTCTAATAATAAGTTATTTTATCCTAGTTTTGTTTTTATCATTTTTTCATCAACAGTTATAATATAAACATGTAAACAATTTCTTTTGTTGGATGCTGAAAGCCTTAATAACAATGAACTAATTAGTAAAATAATCATTTCATCTAATTTTCTAGATTTTAATTTATGAAGATATTTTATAATATTTTCTTAAAAAATTGTGTTGAAAAACATGAAAAAATGAAAAATACATTTTTGTATAAAACTTAGATTTAAAACAAATTATGAAAACAAATATTCAAATTTTTAAGAAAGCTCAGATTTTGAACAGTTTTTCTTTGTTGTTGACCAGTGATTAGTATTAAAAGTGTATGCAGAAGTGTCTGGGTTTGACATTAATGAGTTGTTTAATGAAATTTAAATGGAAATATTTGTTCAGGTTGAAACAAGAGTCGATGGAGGAGAAAATGGACAGAGTTCTTGTCAAACTTGAAAACATTTCAAACAGTCTTAAACTTTAAATATTATTATTCAATATTCAATATATAGTAATAGTTGTAAACTTTACACACAACGGCTTAATAGAGATGAACTCGGATATTGTGTTTGTATCGTTTGAAATATTTACACACAACGGCTTAATAGAGGTAAACTCGGATATTGTGTTTGTATCGTTTGAAATATTTGAGATATTTTGATTTTTTAAAACTTCACAAGAATTTTAGAAAATATTGTCTCTAAGTTTCCTTTTTTACATTGTGCAATGTGCATAGAACCACGTCGATCTATCAAAACGATTTATCTAAACGATTCATCGAAGTGAATTTTAAAAACGATTTAATAAATAGTTAAAATGTTTCCCTTTGGCTTTTATATTATTTTAGGGTAAAAACTTTTTACAATGTAAGAAAAGGAAAATTACGAAGTGCACAATTTTAAAATTATTGCATATACTCTGGAAAGTAAAAATTCAATGCATGTTTAAAAAGCCAAAAAGCTATAACTATCTTTGCTGAATGGGAGGTGGGAGGAGGGGGGGGGGGTCCTGATTAAATAACAAGTAAAGGGCAGCTTATTTCATTTTATTCAAACTTCTGTATTCTGTATGTATATTTTATGCCTTAATTACTTACCAAGTGGTTCTAATTATAAATGACAGTTAATAAAGAATATGGTTGCATTCACGCAAAATTCACAAAAATATTTCATAAATTGTTTTGATCGATAGAAAGAGACGTTTAGAGAGTTTAGTTAGGGACATGGAATTCACTTGAATACTAAGTTTACCCTTGAAAGAATTGAACACTTGCCGCCAATTCTAATTTTCCAAAATCTTTGCAGCCTCATGTCGTAGACCTTTCATATTTCAAAATATAAATTCTGTTGTATTAAATTAATCACGAAGGGTTCACACGATCAGATGATAAAGATATGGGCAACAGAAAATTAGAGTTTGAGGCGAGTGTTTATTTCCTTTGTGCGTTTTGTCTAAACCTTGACATAAGACTTTTTTTTACAAAGACTTTTTTGACTTTAAGGATGTTACCTGTTTTACATTCCTTCCAGAAACCGTGGCCAGAAGAAAGTTTAAATGCTTGATATCAAAATGAAAAAAAACATACATTTTAATGTGTCCTAACTCCAGTCCCCCCCCCCCACTTCCATCCCACATAGTAATATGTCTCCAAATTTTGGGGGGCGGGGCTATCCCCATTGTGATCCAGAGAGTAGGAAGGGGGGGCACATATTTATGTGCGTGGGCCGTGTGAGAAGGGGGGAGGGGTAACGGGTTCTCCCATAAATCTACGAATCTACTGCGACCCATGGTACACTGACCGCTGGACTATCCTAGACAGATAAAATCAGTTGTTGGTCAGCTAGCTAACTAGTAACACGTGCAGGATATTTACTCCAAAACAAATCAACTTTAAATCATATAAAACCAGTTTTTTCTGTTGATTTATGTTTGGTTCGCGCATTGTTGTTTTTATAGATGCGAAATTGTGCGTAAATCGTGAACAGCATCAGCTTCAACAGGTATTACTTGAAAATTAATGTGCACATATATAGAAATCTCATAAAGTTGTCAATTTTTTTTGTTAAGCTTTCTTATCCTAACTCAATCAATTGTTTATTAGAAAATTTGTTGATTTGAAACTAATAAAGTTTTGCGAGTTTTAAGTTGAAAATAACTGCGCAGATATTTTCTGCGTATCGGTCAGCCGGGTTTATTCCACTCTTGAATCCGGAAATTTCTGGTTTCCAAGAAATAACTCTGTCACCAAGAGGCTTCTGGGAAATTAACCAATTAACCATTTTTGCATAATGATATAAGAGTTTATTTGTTCTACAGATTGCATTCAAATTAAACTGGCAAACTGCTGCATCTGACAGTGTGTTCATGTTCCTTTTGTATACAGTGCTAGGGATATAATGATATTTATGGTTTAATATCAGGATATTCAGTGATAACCAGAAGACTGTAGAAGAGGAAGACGATATTAAAGCAAAACTGAAGTACATTTGATGTTGTTACAAAGCAAATAGCTTAACTAGTAAGTAATTAAATCACTTATTAAGTGAAATGGGTCCGTTTACACTGCACAATTTTGTGCCTCATGTTTATTGGACTATTTAAAGTCATAACTTGAGTCTAAAAGTCGACTTCCTATTCAAGAGCTTTAATATCAGGATATCTCTGGTTTAATATCAGGATATAAGTAGTTCAATTTCAGGATATACCTAGTTTAATTTCATATACCTAATTTAATTTCAGAATATATCTGGTTTTATATCAGGATATATCTGGTTTAATATTAGGTTATGTCTGGTTTAATATCAGGACATATCTTGTTTAATATTAGGATATATCTGGTTTAATGTCAGGATATATCTGGATTAATGTCAAGATATGTCTGGTTGAATATCAGAATATATGTGGTTGAATATCAGGATATATGTTATTTAATATCCGGATTTATCTGGTTTAATTTCAGGATATATCTGGTTTAATATCCGGATATATCTGGTTTAATATCAGGATATATGTGGTTTAATGTCCAGATATACCTAGTTTAATTTCAGGATATATCTGGTTTAATATCCGGATATATCTGGTTTAATATCAGGATAAACCTAGTTTAATTTATGGTTTGATATCAGGATATATCTGGTTTAATATCAGGAAATATCTGGTTTAATATCAGGATATATTTGGTTAATTATCAGGATACATCTTATTTAATATCAGGATATATCTGGTTTAATATCAGGATATATCTTGTTTAATATCGGGATATATCTGCTTTAATATCAGGATATATCTGCTTTAATATCAGGATATTTCTGGTTTGATATCAGGATAGATAACAGGATATATGTGGTTTATAATCGGGAAATATCTGGTTTACTATCAGGATATATGTGGTTTAATAACAGGATATATCTGGTCTAATATTAGGATATATCTGGTTTAATATCAGGATATATCTGGTTTAATATCAGGATATATCTGGTTTAATATCAGGATATATCTGGTTTAATATTAGGTAATATTAGGATATATCTGGTTTAATATCAGGATATATCTGGTCTAATATTAGGTTATATCTGGTTTAATATCAGGATGTATCTGGTTTAATATAAGGATATTTATGGTTGGATATCTGTATATTTATGGTTTCATATCAGGATATTTATGGTCTGATATCAGGATATTTATTGTTGGATATCAGGATATTTATGGTATAATATCAGGATATATATGGTATAATATCAGGATATATATGGTATAATATCAGGATATTTATGGTTTGATATCAGGATATTTATGGTTTGATATCAGGATATTTATGGTTTGATATCAGGATATATATGGTTTGATATCAGGATATATATGGTATAATATCAGGATATTAATGGTTTGATATCAGGATATTTTGGTTTGATATCAGGATATTTAGGGTTTGATATCAGGATATTTATAGTTTGATATCAGGATATTTATGGTTCGATATCAGGATATATTTATGATATAATATCAGGATATTTATGGTTTGATATCAGGATATTTATGGTTTGATATCAGGATATTTATGGTTTGATATCAGGATATTTATAGTTTGATATCAGGATATTTATGGTTCGATATCAGGATATATTTATATATCAGGATATTTATGGTTTGATATCAGGATATTTATGGTTTGATATCAGGATATTTATGGTTTGATATCAGGATATGTACGGTTTGATATCGAAGGATCAAGCCAATTTAGATTTCACTTTCAGTTTGTTGATTTTATTTCAAGTGAAAACAGGACATTGCATAAATGGGTAAATGTAAGACAGACATATATATCTCATGTATTGGGAATCGCGTTTTGGTCTATAATTCTAGTAAATTCAAGAGATATCTTATTTTACCTAGATCATTAAAGAAATGTATAATTGAATTATTTTTTATTTTTCAAATTATGATCGTCACAGCTTGCTGACCACAGATCGTTGTGTTAAATTAGCGTGGAATATATCTGATTTAAGTTTTCTAAAGAATGTACCTAAATGCATGTAAAGCGATGCAGTATACAGATTTGACGAATAAGATTGTAAAGGGACTGTAAGCGTAATTTAAGTGTCCCTCCATGCAAAGATGGCAATATCCGATTTAGAAGGCTATCCTTACAAGCGTAATTTCATCAAGAGTATAAGAACCTAGTTTTTGATTTTGAAAACTTTTATTTGTTGTTTCTCTGCTAAAGTGACTTTCACATTTTTTATTTATAAAAAAAACTGGAGAAATTGTCATAATTAAAGGAACTTTAAAGGAAAAATGAAAGGGTATAGGATAAAACCTGAGAATCTCAGGTTTTGAACAATACCTATAAGACATCTATTATACCAAAACGGGGATATGCCAGATTTTTTATAAAAGTTGTAGTATTAAATAGATCATATTCAACAATCTGAAAACGACTATATCTTACAGCAGCCTTTGCTCCTGTTATAATTATTTTATTTTTATTTTGCATTTTTTATCCATATAATTGATAATATTATTACATTTAATCTGTATAGTCCGTATGACGTCACATGTACTTTAGCCTGGTCACGTGATTTCTGTCTTTACCACGTGTCAACGATACTGCACTGTCATTGGCTGAAGTTATTGCGACGACTGACGTAATACGGGCTATATGTAATAATATTATCAATTATATCTTTTAAAAATGCAAAATGCCAAAAAAATTATAATCTGAGCAAACCTGAGATTCTCAGGCTCCTGTGGGATATAACCGTTTTCAAATTGGTTGCGTAATTGTTGAAAATGATCTATTTAATATTCTAACTTTTATACAGAATCTGGCATATGTCCATTTTGGTATAATTTTGACACAGATTCTCAGGTTTCATCCTTTACCCCCTTTCACTTTTCCTTTATAGTCCCTTTAAGTACTTTCGAGTTTGCATGTAGAGTCCCTTGAAATTAAGTTTACAGTCCCTTTAAAGATTCCTGTTTATTATCCTTCTATCTATATAAGCTGCTTCAATATCAGGATATCAAGTTTCCTGCAACAGAAGTAAAAAAACATTTGTCACGTATTTTTTTTTTTTTTTTTTCAGTTTTAAAACTTTTTCAATTTAAGGTTTTCTGTCAACATGAAGTCCACAGTCATTCAGTTCGAGACGATTCCATTGCTGGAGGATTCAAACCAAACAAACAACATCGACATGTTGTACAAAAAGATCGAAGAAGAGGATACTTCCGACAAGATGTCGTTGGAAAACTACCAGAATACTGAGATACCGCTAAACCTAGATCTTTATACATCTCATATACATCTCAAGGGACAGGACAGGACTTCTTACAAGAAATCAGAGAAGAAAACGAACACTATTGACGATGTTGAAAAGGGTAATTTACCACCCTCTAAAACTGAACATGTAACCTTAAATTTTCAAGAAAAAAGTTCGTTCTTCCAGAAGGATGATCTTAAACGTATTAGGAAAGAAACAACATACATTAAACTTAAAACAACTTCATAATTAAAATAAATTTATCCTTCCATTTAAAGAAAGAAAAGTTTAGGCCTAAAATTCAAGTTTTATATATTCAGAAAGGCTTAAAAGTTTGGAAATTTAAAACTTTGATGAAATTTTACCAGGATTTCACATGTAAAATATCTTAAGTATGTAGTAGATCAATATTATAAAATACATTTTAGTTTGATGATAAGAAAGCTTTGACTAAAGTAAAAACCAAAATAGTATTTTCCTTTTTTTTTTAATATTTTAAAATTATAATTCAGCTCTGAGATGTCTTATTTTGTTTCTTTTCTACCAGGGAATTAAATGTGAGGAAAAAAGTAGAAGTAAGAAATTCTAAATAATAAATGGAAATAATCCGTCAATGATTTTTGCAAAAAAAGGTAGTCGAATTTGGTGCTGAAAGTTCAACTTATCCTGGTTCCTATCCCATCTTAAACCAGCTGTTGTTAAATGTATTTTTATCGGGCATGTATTTTTATCTGTGCATTTAGGGTTAAATTACAGTCTATGAAGGCAAAATCGGACAGGACACAAAATTGAATCATTCAAATGCACTCTAAGAAATGTCAAAATAACTAGTAAAATTTGCAGTTAAAGCACAGGAGCCAAATTCAACTTAACAGTATCATTCGTCAAATTTTGAAGAACCGAGCTACGAAGTTGAATTTAGCTCCGGTCCTGCAGTAAATTTTGTTAAATGAAAATTTTACATTTCTTAGAGTGTGACTCAGTTCAACTACTCTATATATATAAATTAACTCTGCGCATATAAATTGGGTCGGTTAATTTGTTGGTAAAAGTCTGTAAAAATAACTAATGTTTACAACAAGATTACTTCTCACGATCAATCAAATCCAACTTAACCTAATTTCTTAGAGCATTGGGTCTTACTTTTTAAAAATAAGGTTAATAATGGCTGTTAAGATGATCGCTTAAAAGGACTGTGAGCATAATTTCAAGTGACCCTTCCTTTGTAGAGTGGCATGTCCGATTCACAACAGTACCTTTTAAACCTTTTCTGATCAAGGATGAATGGGAATTCCAATTTTCTAGCTGAAAGTAGAATTTTTTCATTTGTTATTTTTCTGTAAAATTGACTTGTTGCAGAGAGAATTAAGAAAACAGATCTCAGCACGTTTTTTTTGATCAAAGAAAGGTATAGAGGGTGCTGTTGTGAATCAGATATGTCACTTTAAATGGAGAGTTAATTAAAATCATGTCTTTAGTTCCTTTAATGGACTCTCGAGTAACTGAACATATCGCTTTAGTGTTAAAGAAGAGTAATCTCAATTATTATAAATATTTGCTAAAAGTAATTTTATTTTATTGTTGTCTATTATAGATATATGTTGTTAAAAATAGTTTCTTTGATATAATTTTTTTCTTTCTAATTTTAATGAATTGTAAGAATTATAATTCGTAAAATATTGTAAATTGTATTAAGGAAAAACAAAGAAAGTATGCTGATGAGAAGCTGGATCGACTTCAGAAGATTTACATGATTGTTCTCATCCTTCTCACCGTTCTCATGGTCGTAGGGATGATTTATTTTCATCCCTTGAACCTCTACTGGTATCAGGTATATTTTCATCCTTTGAACCTCTACTGGTATCATGTATATGTCATCCCTTGAACCTCTACTGGTATCAGGTATATTTTCATCCCTTGAACCTCTACTGGTATCAGGTATATTTTCATCCCTTGAACCTCTACTAGTATCAGGTATATTTTCATCCTTTGAACCTCTACTAGTATCAGGTATATTTTCATCCCTTGAACCTCTACTAGTATCAGGTATATTTTCATCCCTTGAACCTCTACTGGTATCAAAATCAAGACGACATTCAAGTCGTCCTGCATACTGTCATGTTTCGTGGGACACCCTGTATCTACGAAATCCTTGATAAAACAAAGGTTTAAAGAGTATCATTGTAAATAAATGGAAGGTCAATAAAAATTACGCTTTTAATTTCTTTTCATGATAAAAGACTGATGAGGATCTTGAGAAGTTACAGAAGTCTGAAATGTTGAAGAACATTTTAAATTAAAGCTCTGAGCTGTATATTCACTACGGTTAAGATTCTTCTGCTTTGGAAACAGGTCTTTCTTCTACTGTTTCAGAAACAGGTTTTTATTCTTTCTTTCGATTTTGATTTTCTTTTTTAAAAACAGATTTTTAACCTTCTGTTTTGAAACAAATCTGAATACACCTGTTATTAAATCAGATCGAAAACTGATATACTTCAGTTGTAAAAACAGCTTTTTTTCATTTGTTGTTTAGTTAAGCGTAGTATTCTGTGTGTTCCTGCTCGCCATGGTGATAAATAGTGTCTGGATAGTTTCTGTGCATGCTCACGACCGGTAAGAAATTTGTTAACCCTCCTTCTCCCTGGTAAAAAGTGCCCCCCCCCCCGGATTTTGTTACAGGGAATTAGGTGAATTTTATGTCAAGCATAACAAGCTAGGGGGTTGGAAAATGTGTGTATAAAGTTTAGGGATTTTGATAAAAAAAATCTTACAGAAAACATCTTTTGATTCTATTCTTGAAAATTAAAATTGAAGTGTTGGAAGGGACCTGGTCTCTCTTCTTCATCTCTTAATTTTTCCAGGGGGGGGTTACGTCCCCCCTTCCCCCCCCCCATAATCCGCCTCTGTATCTGTGTAACAAGACCTGCAGGAACGTTTTTGTTGAAAATCCATAATCCCGATCACTTGATGTCGATAAATACTGTGAGCACTTTTAATATGAGGATCAATGCTTAATCTCTTTATTTTAGTTATTCCTTTCCTGATCCAAGCTTCCTTCAATTACCATGCTTGATATCGAATAAAGATTTAATTAATCTTCAGATTGAGATCAAGCATTGATCTAGATATTCACAATGTAAGAGTTCCTAGCTCAGATGTCGCTAATCTAATTTCTAGCTTCGAACTAATCATTACAGTTCAATTTAATAATTTAATTATTTCTTTTCACTTAAAGAAACTGAGTTTTTATCAGATATTCAAATTTTTCTATCCCTATATCTTACTGTAAGGATTCCAGCAAAAGGAGGAACTCGTTTCGCAAAACTTTTTTTTTTGAAAATTTCGCATTTATCAAATTTCGTTCACTCGCGAAAAATGCGAAAAAGTTTTACATTAAAGAAAGAGAAATTACTAATTATGATGTAATAAAACTCTTAATGCGGAATTCTCAGAGCAAAGAATTCCACAAGTTTGTACGTTTGCGCAATTAATTGTTGCAGTCACAACACTTACGGTTTTTGCGGAATTTTTTTGTGTTGTTATTTTTCGCGAAATTTCACATAGTTTTCTCAATTTTTGCTTAACTTTTATTTTAGAAAATATAGGACGGGAGATGAAAAGTGGATTCCTTTAAGCCAACCTAAATCCAGTGAATCCAGAAACAAGATTTTAGAGGTGGAGGAAACCCAAGAAACACATCCTCTTCTAAAAGGAAACTCAGAAACAACCAGTAAACCTATAGACATTAAATCCGGCGCCGAGCATTCCAAATTGTCGATCTCAAAGTCTCCAATAGAGCGTGATTTGTACACAGCTGTGCGACGTATTGAACCTTAACCAAGTTTATCCGAACTTTGAAGATTAAGAATGTTTAAAAATTATTATGACACGAGCTTTCACTCTTCTAGCATTAAAAAAAAAATAAAAATTACTGACATTATTTTAAATTTTTTTTCTCTCATAAATTTAGATCAAGACAAGATGGATTTTACACAATATCCTTTATTTGACAAATTATTTAGCAGCTTTTTTTGCTATAAGTTGTGTATTTTTTTAATATTGAGGACAAACATTCATTTGTCATAAAATTTATATTTTTTTTGTAAAAGTTGTTAAATATAAGTTTTTAAAAAAAAAGAGACGTTTCAAACATTGTAATTTAATTGAGAAATAAATATAATCGATTAGAAAGAAATTATTTTCAGCTTGCAGTTTACCCAACACATAGTTTACTATTAAATCATGTTCAGCTTGCAGTTTTCCCAACTCTCCCAACACATAGTTTACTATGAAATCGAAAGTGAAAACTCTTGAAAAGACGACTGAATTATTTTTTCACAACTGAAAACTTTAGAGTTTGATACCTTTAATCCTGATCTGAATATTCACTGTCGTCGACACTTTAATAATTTCTCGGCTTGTGATTGGCTGTACGGGTTTCTACAAACGCCTATCTGATTAATTGAATCTTATACACTGTTCTGGATACAAACAAATCTTATGTTTTAAATATGAAAGGAACCATCAAAAGGTAGATATTAATATTCTAGTAGTCTTCAAGTCTCACACCAATAAAAGAACAAAGTATATGAACATCTATATTTAAAGAGAAATAAAATAAAGAACGAAATAACGAAAGAGATGTAGATATACTGCTATTACAGTTCATCTAGAGTCACAGATTTAGGTTGGTACTCAGTGATGGGTTTCTCCTTTGGCTGGATACCTCCTTTGGCTAGATACTTTCAATATGGTATCCCCTCCGGAAACATATCTCCTCTAGTAACATATCTCCTCTGGCAACATATCCCCTCCGGTAACATATCCCTTACAGTAACCTATCTCCTCCGGCAACATATCTCTATTGGCAACATATCCCCCACACCAAGGAGAATTGAATACACGGAGGGGGCAATAGGGTTTCCGTACACTTTGCTGTGACGTATTTGGACTGCTGGAGTACTAGTTTTTGCGTAACAACAATAATAAAGATTTTAAACAATAACACAAATGATAAACAGACATTTGGTGCATCTCTGACGTTAGATGAAGATTCACCGTATACTAACTCATTTTTGTTTACATTAGATCGGCTGCCTTTATTATTGTTGCTTAGTTTTTATTTTACGCACAAGTAGTTCTAAATTTGTTGTTCTTATCAATAGTTTTATAATTAGAAGAGTTATATGATAGCTAACATATCAGATTTCAATCTGACCTGCATTTTACTTTAGCTAATATGTTTAATTCAAAGTGAGGTCAAGTCCTCATGACAGAAAAGATCACCTCACACAAAAAAATGGAAAATGAACATGCTATATTTGCTTTAGTTCCGCGTGAAGTATAAAAAAATATTTTTCAAGATTTTTTTTAATTATGTAAAAGTACGATCTCTTTTTGGTGGTAAGAGGCTGCTGCTGAGCTGTAATTGTTAATCTAGGAGAAGGTTTAGCTCAGTATTACCTGTTGCACCACAGTCTCCAGTCCGTATACATCTCTCATACAGTACACACATGGTGGGTTTATGTTGTACATTGTTATACATGGTACATACTGTACACACATGGTATGTTTATGTTTTACATTAGTATACATGGTACATACTGTACACACATGGTGGGTTTATGTTTTACATTAGTATACATGGTACATACTGTACACACATGGTGGGTTTATGTTGTACATTAGTCTACATGGTACATAATGTACATACATGGTGGGTTTATGTTTTACATTAGTATACGTGATACATACTGTACACACATGGTGGGTTTATGTTTTACTTTAGTATACATGGTACATACTGTACACACATGGTGGGTTTATGACATTAGTATACATGTTACATACTGTACAGTGTACACACATGGTGGGTTTATGTTTTACATTAATATACATGATACATACTGTACACACCTAGTGGGTCTATGTTTTACATTAGTATACATGGTACATACTGTACACACATGGTGGGTCTATGTTTTACATTAGTATACATGGTACATACTGTACACACATGGTGGGTTTATGTTTTACATTAGTATACATGGTACATACTGTACACACATGGTGGGTTTATGTTTTACTTTAGTATACATGGTACATACTGTACACACAGTGGGTTCGTGTTGTATATAAGTATACAATAACATGCTACAAACTGTACAAAAAGTGCAATGGGTTCATGTTGTAGATTAGTGTGCATGGTACATACGTACACACATTGGGTTCATGTTGTACTTTAGTATATCAACGGCATGATATTTTTTTATTTTTTGATTAAACCCTTGATTACATTTCTAAAATACTTATTATGATTTATTTATGATATTGGAAAATATTTATATTAATCATAAGCTTGAATGACAACTATTTAGAAATGTAATCAAGGGTTAGAACAAAAAATAATAATATTCACATTTTTAGCGATATTTTGTACTTTTACAGGTAATAGTTTCTTAATATGGAAAGTTATACGAATCTTTATTTAGCTACTTCGTGTTGTCAGTTTGTTGTAAATACATTATGCAGGTCACATTTAAACTGAAGTTCAAAGGTTTAATTGATACCCTTGTAGATTGAACGGACAACAATTAGGAATTGAATCTTTGTCACAAACTCAGAATTCTTAATTCCTATATCTGTGCAACCTCATGGTGCAAACGTTTGATATTTTAGATTGTTTGATCTAACAGAATTCATGGTTTGAAGTATCTAAGGTCTACGACAGCGAGTTGCAAAGATGTTAGATTAGAAAATCAGAGTTTGAGGCAAAGACTCAATTCCTTTGGGGCAATTTGAAGTTCTGTCGACATTCTCTTTTAGCTGAAAATCAAGTTAACAAGATTTAAAATTCCAAAAACTCAACCAACAAATTAAAAAACAAAATCTTTATTCTTCAAGCCTTCTGTATATTCCTTTAATTGAGATTTCCTTTAATTTCTGCATTGCCAACATGCAAATTAGTTGAAAGATTACAAAAACTAGGCTTTTAACGCGCTTCGCGCCCATCTTCTATTTCAATTGTGAACATTTTATCGAATTGGGAAAAAAAGTTATAAAAAGTTTATAACAAAAAATTTCATAGATTTTGAAAATCTAATGAAAATCTAATTTTGTTAATGGCTAGTTTTTTAAATTTTGATCATCCATAAACTTTTCCAGGGGTCATTTTGGTCAGATCGGTTCAGCCTTTTTGACGTTTATTACATACAAAGAAACAAACCGACACCCAGACAAAGTATTTAGATAAATTGATTAAGTACTGTTTGCATAAATCAAATTTATAATCCTGGTTTTCTTCAAACAAATCCTTTTTATAATAAACCTTTTTATATTTATAAATAAAACCTAAAAGAGATAAACGTAATCAACATGAACCTTTTCATTTTTATAAATAAAACCTAAAAAAGATAATGTAATCAACATAAACCTTTTTATATTTATAAATAAAACCTAAAAAAGATAAATGTAATCAACATAAACCTTTTTATATTTATAAATAAAACCTAAAAAAGATAAATGTAATCAACATAAACCTTTTTTATATTTATAAATAAAACCTAAAAAAGATAAATGTAATCAACATAAACCTTATTTATAATTCTAAATATAAACCTAAAAAAGATAATTGAAATCAACATAAACCTTTGAAGATGTATCAAGAGAAAAAACATGAGTCTCTACTTTACTCTATAAACAATGAATTACGAATATACAAATATAATAGTTTTATTCTAAATAAAAACATCTTCATCACACTAAAAAAAGAATAAATAATAGAAACGTTTAGTTACTTAACGTCCCTTGGCACAATTAGTTAAAATAACCACCCTCTCAGCGGGTGATTATTTGCATTCTAAAGAAGATAAAATTGTGTGCTGTAGAGGATAAAACTTAATCATATTTGAGACCTAAACTGTAATGAATTAAAAAAACAAACATTGTTCAAAAAGTAATGTATTGATTAAAAAAATAGAATAAACAAACTGTAAATCATAAGATTATTGAAAAATCAAGACACTGATCAAACTACTCCGACTCGGGGGGATGAATTTCCATTCGTCTTCTCTGAGCTGAAAACTTTAGAATGGTGGATATCGGGATTAAGGCTTAATCCACTCTTTTTCTTAATCTGCAGATTAAATATTGCTTGTTCTCCACTCATTTTTAATCTCCAGATTAATTATCCGATCAGGATTAAGGATATCCCATTTAAAAGTTCCCATCTCTGATCATATATTTCGTTGAGACTGCCGATCTATTCGACTTATCTATGCAAAATCCTCTCGTTCCACGGCGTGTAGAAAGGGTTGGCCTGATTAAAGTTTAAATAGAACAAGCAAGAGTGGCTTGGTTTTATCACGCAGCCACAGCGTGACTTGTGGCTTGGCTTTATTTCCAATGGACAGATCTTGCTTACAACTAGAACATGAGATGGTTGTTATCGCTAACATTCTGTTTGAGAATTCGAAAAATATGATCGTAATTTTGACAAGCTTCATGTTAGTTCTATATACGAAAAAATGTTAAGGATTCTTTTAAAAGTGTGTTCGAGTTACTTTACAGGATTTTAGAAAGTTTCTTTAAATCATCGAAATTTTAAAAAAGTTCTTCATGCCTAAATTAAAATAAGGACACAATGAAAAAGTTATAAATATAAAATATGAAATTTAGAAGAACAATGAAAATGTTTCCAAGGATTCAATATATTTACAGTTCGAAAACATTTTTAACTTTCTAATTTAAAATATTCTTTTGTTTGGTGAATTTAATGAATTTGAACATTAAGTTTTCCTAATTCTTTTTAGAACATATTTATATTTTGAATATTTCTGAGGAAATTTGAAAAGGAAAATCAATTTTGTTCTTTTTCCGCTGTAGACTGAATCATGAATAAGATTTCAATTTTAACTATTTTCTCTGTAGAATTCTATTATT